TCACACACCATTCACTCACACTCACACACCATTCACTCACACTCACATACCCTCACTCACACTCACATACCATTCACTCACACACCATTCACTCACACTCACACACCATTCAATAACACTCACACACCTATGGGCATCTTGGTAATTCCAGTTAATCATAGTGTGTTTTTCGTCATGGGGGGAACATGCAAACTCCACACACATGGAGCCATGGCGGAGACTGAAACCGTCATCCAAAGGAGTGAGGCAACAGTGCTAACCACTGCACCACTGTACCACTGTACCACTGCACCACCCCAGCCGGAGCAAACAAACTCCATAATTTGTCCAAGGTCAGCTGGCCAGAAAGCCGTCTTCAGGCTAGTCTTTTATCCTCAGCTGCCTGTGATCTGCAATTTCCGTAGCATTAACTTGTTCTCCATTATCCAGCTGGCCGTACGGAAGAGAGAGAGACATGGTAGGTCAGTCCGGATGCTGATACGTGACCAGTAAAAGCAACAATAAGTGCAAAACAGCAGCATATACAGAAGCATCAGCAGCCTTATTTATGGTAGACTAGGGCAAAGAAATAGGCCTTTGGTTTGGATTTAAATACTGAGGCTAAGGGGGCATCCCTCACATATGCTGGTAGATCGTTCCATAAACTAGGAGCCCTTTGGCTAAAGGCTCTACCAGAAACAGTCCTTTTGTTTATGTGAGGATTTGGAAGAAGGCCTGCATTCTGTGATCTCAGTGTATATTCGCTGTTGGATGTTGATCAATTCAGTTACATAAGCAGGGGTCTCACCCTTTAGTGCTGTGTGAGTAAGCAGAAGAATTTTAATGTCTGTCCTGCACTATTTTAGAATAGGTGTTATATGGTCATATTTATTCCGTCTAGTTACAATTCTTGATGCTGCATTTTTAATTTGCTGTAGGAAGATGGTGTGTGATTTGTGACCCTGGTGAGCAGAGCATTACCGAGGTCTCATTTGCTATATATAATTGCATGTATTCATTTTTATCTTGAATGGTGAGAAACTGCCTCCTCTGTATGAAGCTTGTCCTAGATGGGGACTTAATATGAGAATTAAATGACAGGTCTGTGCTGAAAATTAGTGTCTGGGCAGCACAATGGCTCAGTGGTTAGTGATGAATGAATGGGTCCCTGAAAGTGAGACACAAGGCCTGAGAATTACTTCCTGGTAGCAAGGGAGTACAAGTGGTGTAATAAGACTTCTGATGTATCATTGCTTACAGCCAGACAATCATCGCTCATAAATCTCTGTTTTTAAGTAGTTTACTTGGACGATGTATGATCATTTGCTGCAATCAATTATGTACAATTCATTGATGTTTACGAGCGATACGATGGTGCAGTGGTTAGCACCATTGCCTCACACCTCTGGCACGAGAGTTGGAGTCTCCGCCATGGCTCTGTGTGTGGGGTCTGCATGTTCTCCCCATGTCACCATGGAGTTTCCTCTGAGGTACTCCAGTCCCCCCCCCACAGTCCAAACACATGCTGAAGCCAATTGGAGTTGGTAAATTGCCCGTAGGTGTACACGTGTCAGTGAATGGTGTGTGAGTGTGCCCTGTGATGGGCTGGTGTCCCATCCTGGGTTGTTCCCTGCCTTGTGCCCATAGGCTCCAGATCCCCTATGAACTTGAATAGGACAAGTGGTTACAGAAGATGGATGGATGGTCTGTATTGAAAGTTAGTGGCTGGGAAGTACTGTGGTTGTGAATGGATGATATGCCTAAAAGTGAGATGCAAGGGCCCAGAATTACTTCCTGGTTACTCAAAGTGTTATTACGACTTAGTAATAGGATTTCTGTTTATCACTGTCTAGTCAGACAATCATCAATCATCCATCTGTGTCTTAAAGTAGTTTACTTTGGCGATATATGATGTTTCGCAAGAGTCAATTTAGTTAAATTCATTGTGTAATCCCGATCACTGGTGATACCAATGATGCAGAATTGTCATTAGATATCCGAACATGCTGCTGATGATTGTGTAAAGAAGAGGTGTCCCAGAAAAGGATGGTTGGCTTAGACTGACCTCACATTCCAGCCTGTTTAACAGAGTTAAATGGCTGAATGCTCCTTAGTGCAAAAACAGCACAAAGGAGCATAAGTATTGTTGCATTCCCTACATCTATGGCCTGTAGTTCGTCATTTCCAACTCCTAAAGCTGTTTCAGTGCTCTCACTTTGGCAATCGATAGAAACTTTCTTGCTATTAGTGTCCAGGAATGTTTGCAATTAGGTGGCAACTGTTTTCTGTAAGATATTTGAGAGAATGGGGGCATTTGAGTCTATAGCTGTCAAGAGCATGAGGTTCTAAATTTGGCCTCTTAAGCCGTGATCTGATTATGTCCCCTTTAAATTTATCAGGGACAACAGCAGAAGCTTGGGAGTTGTTTGTAATTTTAAGTATGAGACCTATAAGTTTTTTTACTTGGGACAGCATCTAATATACTTGTAGCAGGTTTTGTTTTATGATTTAATTTTAAAATTCTTTTACATTTTTAAAGTTTGTTGACCAGCTAGACCTTACTGGAAATATGTACACACAGTCTGACCTGTTATTTATGAAGTCTATGCAATTGTCAGTACCAAAATTAGAATGCACTGTATCTGAAGGATCAATGACTTTATTATTTATCTGTTACTATAAAAAAAGTGTGAATCACCTCTGTTATTTTGCTCCTATTATTATTAATAAGCTAGGAATAGCAAGCTGAATGAGCATTACTGAGAGGTGTCAGGTTCACAACACTCAAGTTCAAGACCACATGCATAATCCTTAAACCCTGTGGACTGCAAGGCTGTAATTAAAATATATATCGAGGGCACGGGTTTGATGTTTTATTGGGCTGCACAACTCCGTAATTATAATATATAGTGGGGGGCACCCCCCCCCCCCCAATATTCAGATGTGTTCACCGTGTCCCCCCCAGTGTTGATTCCCAGGCTATGTTCTTGGTGGAGTGTATATTAGTTTTGCCTACTGTTATTTAAATAAAGGAACTACTCTATTCATGGCTATATGTTGTAATGTGTGATACCACAGCCTTTTTTGCTGGATGTAAAGTAACATTATTAGCAGTTTTAATGATCTTTAAAGAAGCCCTGTTACTGCTGCTGGGTCACAATGCTCTTTATCTGAGACCGTAATGGTCATTGTCATAGAGGTTCACATACTTTTTCCCATCAGTCACCTTGACTGGGTCATATGAAGAGTCCTATAAAGTTTTTCTTTATTTATATAACTTTGTTAATTTGTGTTCATTTAATACCAATACATTTAACTTATAAAACACTTTTCATTAGAACTGAATATCAGAATGCATTTATGTAACGATAAGTGTTACATATTCTACTAAAAAATTTGTGTTCGGATATCTTTATTTAACCACTGCGTTTTTGTTTTCTCATTTTCAGGATTCTTTATGTGGAATACCATGGAACGACTTGTGTTTTGTGCGTTGATGTTTGGAATGTTGGTGAAGGGGCAGAACTGCCCTGGCCGGTGCATCTGCCAGAACATCTCTCCCACCCTCACCCTGCTCTGTGCCAAAAAAGGGCTCCTCTTCGTGCCGCCTACCATTGACCGAAAGACAGTGGAGCTGCGGCTGACAGACAATTTCATCACAATCATTCGAAGGAAAGATTTCTTTAACATGACCAGTTTGGTCCACCTAACCCTGTCCCGAAACACCATCAGCCAGATCACCCCCCATGCGTTCGTAGGACTCCGTTCCCTGCGTGCCTTGCATATGGATGGAAATCGCTTAAGTGTCATTAAGACTGACCATTTTAAAGGACTTTTCAATCTCCGACACCTAATTCTTGGGAACAACCAAATTCACTATGTGGCTCCCACTTCTTTTGATGAGTTTGTAGGCACTATCGAGGACTTGGACCTCTCTTACAACAACCTGAAGACTCTTCCTTGGGAAGCTATTGCCAGGATGACAAACATCAATACTCTAACTCTGGACCACAATCTCATTGATCACATTGAGGCTGGGACCTTCACCCTCCTTGCTAAGCTAGTACGCCTGGACATGACTTCCAACCGCCTGCAGAAACTGCCCCCGGACAGCCTGTTCCAGCACGCACAAGTTCTGTCAGATGCTAAGGGCTCCAACCCCTCTTCGCTGGCCGTAAGCTTCGGTGGAAACCCCCTTCACTGCAACTGTGAACTGCTGTGGCTCCGACGGCTCACGAGGGAAGACGACCTGGAAACGTGTGCCTCTCCCGAGCACCTTATGGATAAATACTTCTGGTCCATCCAGGAGGAGGAGTTCATCTGTGAGCCTCCTCTGATCACCAAGCACCAAGTCAGCAAGCCCTTCGTAATGGAAGGCCAGGGGGTGACACTGAAATGCGTCGCCATGGGTGACCCGGACCCCACCATCCATTGGCGCTCCCCTGACGGAAAGCTTGTGCACAATAATTCCCGGACCATCCTGTATGAGAACGGCACTCTGGATATCCTCATCACCACCCTCAAGGATAGTGGGGCCTTCAACTGTGTGGCATCTAACGCTGCAGGAATCGCAACAGCGTCAGTAGAGGTCAACATGATACCACTACCCCTCTTCGTCAATAACTCCAGCCAGATGAAAGCAACAGACCCTGGATTGTCTGATATCACCACTTCCTCTAAGTCTGGTAACAATGACACGAAGAACCATGACAAGAGAGTAGTAGCAGTTGAGCTGACGTCCTCTTCGGCTATAATTCAATGGCCATCGGAGCGCCACATCCCGGGGATCCGTATGTACCAGATCCAATACAATAGCACCTTGGATGACACTCTGGTGTACAGGTGAGCCTTTTACAGAAGTATTTTTACCCAAATATTTCTTAGATTTTTATATACAATTACATTATATTCATTCACTCAACTGTCCTAACAGCACTAGTGAGATTTAGCTTCAACATCAAACTGACGCTTATAGCAGCTACAAGAATTTCACATTAAGCCTAAAAGCAAAATACAGTCATTTACAGTCTATTACACTAGTTTTTAAAATGCAGATTGGCTCATACACTTTTGGTAAATTGGGGAAAGATGTCTGTATAATTAAAATATTACATAGTTTTAAAGATGTTTTCATCCCATGTTTTGACGGAGTAGCACACCTGAACACACCAGTCTGTAGAGAAATTGCCTTGCCACTCATTTAGCTTAGCCCACATGCATTGGTTTGTAAGTGCAGATTTTCACAAAATGTGGTTGATTGCTGTAAATACAAGTGAGCCAGGTTGCCAGTCTCGCGGCGGAATTTCAGTTACTGAGAGAAAAGCTTTAGAACACTAAGAAAAGCGTGATTTGATAAAGCGTTTTTGGCATGATGAGTATAATGGCTAGGTTTTGAGTGGTTTGCGCATAACCCTATTTTGTTCTGTAAGCCCTAATTTTTTACTGTGTGATTTTGAATAATGTACGGTTTTTAGCAGAAATGACTGTATATGATAAATATAATGCTTTGTGTTTCATTTTTAGCTGCACCCTGAAACTGAAACTGGTTCAGGATTTCATACATTCTTGCATATACAAAAAGAAAATTTAAATATGTGTATGTGTGTGTATGCGTGTGTGTATGTATGTATGTATGTATATATATATGTGTGTGTGTGTATATGAAGGTATATATGTATAAAATATATATTTAAAAAAACTATAAAATATTGCATATATTGAATTATGCACTAACCAATAAAGAGATGCAGCTTGGTAGTTTTACACAGCATTGCTGCTCCAGTAACATGCAGCATTGGCCAGTGCTTTTCATTCTCTAAAGAAAGGTGTGCATGTTTTTGAGAAGGGACATAAAAAGACTTTGCCAGAATTTATTCTGCCCACCTTGACCACAGTACTCCTCACTTTCTAGTGTTTGCTATAAAGCATTTTGATTTTCTTTTCTTTGCCAACGTAAATTGACTGTCTGACAGAAGCCCCCAACTCTTTGTCCTTGCAAGCTCCATAAAGTGGTGAGAGACCCTCTTTTCCAGCACTACCTACCTAAACTATCAAATTGACCGACTAAGTCTCTAGCTCGCTGCATGCGGTGAAATTCATCGCTTTAGCTTGTCCTCTGATGGATACATTTTGGAGGTTTTTTAAGTTTGAGGTATCATTGACTCAGACACTCTGCCTCCAACATGCCCCATTGCTCAGAGTAATGACCAGCACTGCTCAGTACTTACTGCCTTATCTAGTTCAATGTGATGTGACTAGTGTAACGTTTCAATACATCCAACCATAAATGTCAGAATGGTGTCTGGACCTACGAGAATGGAGGTGGAGAGAGGTAAGTCAGTTTAATGAAGTTTATCTCTCAGCATGTGACACATTGATTAACAATGTCATTACTGAGGGTCTGTTTTCCACCTGTGGTCCACCAAGCAGCTATGCTCAAATTACACTTGTGGAATTCTGTCTCTGATGCTCCACCTTCTCACCATTTCAGATGAGTAGAGTTGAAGTGTGACGATGTTCTACTATAGTGGGGAGATTGTTTAATCACTTCATGGATTTGCTTGGAGAAACTTCTTCCAGTTCTTCCAGGCCTCCATGGAGGGGCACTGGTTAAAATGTGAGCCATGCACAGGAAATGCCCTCCCATCTCTGGCACATTGTGACTCCTGTGAAGGGGTTATGCATGCATTACATTCTTCTTAAATTGATCTAAGTCTTTCCAGAAAGTCCGCTCTACTACATGTCCTTTTTTCGGACAATGATACTTCCATGGCTCTGACCTTCTCATGTATTTCAGTGTTGCACTTTTCCCATGCACATTAAATATCCTAATCTCAGTGAAAATGTAACCTGGAGCTATGCTACTGCTGTAGAAGAGGAGCATCCAGTTTGATATCCTTGTTGTCAATAATTCCGTCTCTCTACAGCTAAAACTGCAGCTTGTCTTTCAAGCTATGGTACAATGATGGCAGGATTTGGGGCAAGCTTAGCTATGGGAAGGAGAGGACCATCCCAGTTACACCTTACTTTTATTAGTAACCTATCTGGAATATTTATAGAGCCACCAAGCTCAAGTGGGTCAGAAAGATTGCTTAACATTGATAAAATCTCATGTAATGTGTAGGCTTTTTCAATCCCCATCTTCTGACAAATTGCAGCCTGGCCCCAAAATTCTCAGTTTGGGTTGGAAAGTTAACAATAGAATCGTTGTCCTGTATTCCTACTACCTCTATTATCTGTTGGGAATTCGTTCATATCCCCTACATTGTTGATGACGGCTGCAAGTTGGGGCGTACTAGCATCTATCAAGTACTATGAAGGTAAGTGATGTCTTCCTTCACTTCGGTTAAGGATAACATCATTGGAAACATTAAATTTCCTCTTGACAAACTGTCTGGCAGTGATTTGTTTAATAAATTCTCTCATGATGTGCAATCTGTTCCCGTGATCACCCCATACCACAAAGCAACATATGTTTTCCGCAGCTTTCGCTGCTCTGGGCTCCTTCCTGAAGTGTGGTAATATCTTGAGGAAGATATCATAAATGTCATACCTGACAGGGAGAACGCCTTTCAAAAACACACTGAGCTGCTGGATACTATTGTCAAGCTCCCCTTATTTGGCAGATTGATTTGGTTTGGTCACATGGTTAGCACCAGTGCCTCACGCCTCTGGACCTACCGTTCGAGTATATGCCCCAGCGCCGTGTCTTTGGGGTTTGCATGTTCTCCCCTTGTCATCATGGGGTTACTTATGGATTCTCCCCACAGTTTTCCACACTTCTCATGGAGTCGGCAAGTTGTCTATAGGTGGGAGTGCCTTGTGAGGGGGTGGCGCCCCATCCTGGGTTATTCCCAGCCTTATGCCCGTAACTTCTGGGATGGGCTCTGCATAGGACACAAGCAAGTACATAAAATACATGGATGGGTTTAGTTTGAGGAGTGCAGCCAATTCTGCATGATCGTTCTTAAATTTATTTCGCATGAAATCCATGATCCGTGATACTTCACCACTGGATGCTTCTTAATTAGATGAATTAGTTAAGCAAGACAATTGCTTGCCCATTCGTTAATGTGCTAATTATGTGGACTATGGAAATGACCCAGCTGATCCATGCTAAAGATACTCTTTTTCCCTCTTCTCCAGAAGGTAAGGTTCTTCACCAAAGGGAGTTTATCTGTTATCATCCTTATTTTTGGTGGAAGATTATCACCCACAAGGCACTTCTCATATACTACTGTTTCAAAACTAAGGCAGAAGATTTCTGTGGGTGACAATGATGAATAAAATCCTCTTTTGCGTGAATCCTACTTTAACTGGGAAGGAGGAGCCCATTTTCTCATTTTGATATGAGAAACATGTGAGATGTACTTAGCACAGGGTATATATAGCAACTGGTAACACATTACGGGGGGCACAAGTGACTTAGTAACTCCATTACTACTCAAGTACAAATCATGATCAAATATAGTAACTGTGTGACATACATGAACCATTATTATTGATTAATGATGAATGAACATGGAATCAGTACTTAACTAACATTTAGTTTCTGATGAATTAATACATTAAAGAAGAATGTAGAACTACGTTATTTGTGCCCCCTCAAAGTGTTGCCTAGCAACTAATGAAGGCTATTGGGCAACATAAATCTTTATTACCTACTCAAGGGCTAACCACTATGTCGAGGGATTGTAAGTTCCTGTATGCACGTCCCAGTTTCTCTTCTGAAAAGAAGCAGAATATCGACTTTGAATCTGGTGACCATGGAGGAGAATCTTGCAGCACCTGGCACAGTGATCTCTACCCTGTTATCAGAGGAGTTTATATTCTATGAATATGGGAAAGGCTTGACTTGCCTGTTCTTCAAATGACTTCACACTGATTCTCTCCAGTCTACCGTGTTTGACACTCCTGCACACGTGTTAAGCATTCAAAAAGAGTTGTTGCTTGCTATATTGAGTACCTCACCATAGGGCCTAATCCTCTGTGCAGCTGGCTGAGGTGACTGAAGAGCAGAAGAGAATTATCTTATTTCCTGCTCTGCTGTGTTGGAAGTGTGATGTCTTTCACACCGTGATGATGAACTAGCATGATGCACTATGTTCGTCACTGTAAAATTCTAAACACTGAGTTTCTGCCGTCTAGCTCAGTGGAAATGTGTTCTCCCATCAAATCTTTTCCGCTATCCAGAGGATTCCTTATAAATCTACCAAATATTTGAAGCCAAACATGGTGTACTGGGGGTCGAGTCAACAAATATATGGGAACTTCAAGAGAGGTTTAGCAATGGCTAAGCTAACACACTTTGACAAACATCATGGTTCGTCACCAACATGAAGATCTTTTAAACATCATTTTCTTTGTCCAAGTCTTTTACACAGCATTGTATATACAGAAAGACCTAGATCCAGTCTGCCTTGAAGAATGAGCAAAAGGAGGTTCTTCAAGATAATAATGTGATGAATTAAAAAGTCTATGCGAGTTACAGACTATGTGCTGTTGTAAAAATACTGACAGAAAGAATATGTGTATGTATCACTTGTAATTCATGTAAAATCTGCTCATTCCAAGTGGGGCTTTTTTCTGGCCCTGTATATATACACACACACAGACACACACACACACACAGACACACACTAGCATCCAATTTATTAGAAACACCTGTACACTTGCTCGTACCAGCAAAATGCTCTCTGCATAGAACAATTTTGAGATTAAGTATTTCAGAAACTGCTGATCTCCAAGGATTTTCTGGGATTTTGCACAGCAGTCACTGAAGTTTACAGAGAATGGTGTGAAAAACAAAAAAATCATCTAGGGAGAGGAGGTCTGTGGGCGGAAATGCCTTGTTGATGAGGAAGATCAGAAGAGAGTGGTCAGACTGATTCGAGCTGACAGGAAGGCTGCAGTAACTTAAAAACCAACCTTTGCAATGGTGGTGAGCAGAAAAGCTTCTGAGAAAACATCACATATTGAACCTGAGGTAGATGGGCTACAACAGCAGAAGATTACATCAGGTTCCTCTCCTGTCAGCTAAGAACAGGAAACTGAGGCCTCAGTGGTATACAGGCTCACCAATATTGGACATTTAAAGATTGGAAAAATGTCGTCTGGTGTGTTACAACATGCAGAGTCAGAATTCACTGTAAACACCATGAATCCATGCACAGTTGAAACTGATGGTGGTGTAATTATGTGGGGAATGTTGTGTTGGCACACTTTGGGCCCCCAATACTAATGAGCATCACTTAAATGCCACAGCCTATGTAGGTATTGTTGCTGACCATGTGAATCGCTTTATTGACAAACTTTACCCATTTTCTAATGGCTTCTTCAACACATATATCGGGGCTGCTTGTGCTTCAGTGGTCTAAGCCTCTGTGCCTGTGATCGAAAGGTCGCCTGATTGAGTCCGGCCTCCCTACATCTGTAGCTACTTGAGCAAGACCCTTAACCCCCCCCAGCTCCCTGAGTGACACCACAGGTGGCTGCCTTCCGTGGCCAGCTTGCCCTCACTTACAGAGAGCAAGTGGGGGGAGGCGAAATGAGAATTTTCCCACAGGGATCAATAAAAAAAGTGTCTGTTATTATTATACTTCAAACTGAGGCCATGAACATGACACTGGATTTGATGTCTTTGACTGGCCAGCCAGTCACCAGATCTGAATCCAGTGGAGCACCTTTGGGATGCGGTGGGATGGGAAATTTGCCACATCATTGTGCAGCCGACAAATCTGCAGCCATTGCATAATGCAATCATGTCAGCATGGACCTGAATCACTAAAGGATTTTCCGGCACCTTTTTGAAGCTGCGCTTTGAACAATTCAGGCTGCTCTGAAACCAAAAGTCAGGCCCAGGCCCATATAAGTGCTTAAAATTTTCTGATATTGACCGTTTTTAATTTTCAGGTGTATCTAACTCTAACCCAAACTTTTGATAGAAAATAAGCCCATAAAATATTTTCTCATTTAAGTGTTGATTTTCCGCACATAACTCCAATACTATTGCTGCTATTAGACAAATGCCAAGCATACTTTGCAGAGTATACTTGGCATTCTTCTAATGGATAGGATCAATAATTGAATCTTTTTAGATAAACATGTATAGGTATTCATTTTTTGATAGATTGGAGAATAGGGGGGAGAAGCATGTTGTTTCCCTTTCTATTTGAAATTAAAGTAACTTTTCTGTAATTCCCAATTTGACCCTACATTGCAGATAATCATACAAACAAGATTAAATATCAAGAAACAAAATTTATCACCCTCAAATATTTATAATTTTTTGGCTCATTAATGCTTTCACTAGACACGAGTATCTTCTTCATGAAGTTACGCATAGCCATCAGTGTCTTCCATAACATACTTCTTAGTTGTTTTCCTCAACAAAGCCATTTTTACAGTAGGTTTAGCTTCTTTCTGGTTTATTTTGATGTGACTCTTAACCTGATGAAATGTTACATCTAATTTACAATAATAAAAATAACCAAGTCATTTTTAATTGTTATCCAAAATCTCACTGGGGCAAAATGTGTAATAAGAAGATTGAAAAATTGATAGAAATATGGTTTTAATATGTAACTATAAGCAAACAATCTGTATATGTTCCTGACATACCAAACCCTAGGAGACTGAAACCAAGTGCAAGCAAGGTGTATTGTATTCAGGATTTGTTTTAATGGTAATGTATTGATGGTACTGTGTCAATGGTATTGTGTTAATGGTACATTATTAATGGTACTGTACTAATGGTATTGTGTTAATGGTACAGTATTAATGGTACTGTACTAATGGTATTGTGTTAATGGTACAGTATTAATAGTACTGTACTAATGGTATTGTGTTAATGATACTGTATTAATGGTACTGTACTAATGGTATTGTGTTAATGATACTGTGTTAATGGTAATGTACTAATGGTGACTGAGTGTTTAGCCATTTCCTCACACCTCCAGGTTTGGGGGCTTGAGTCTCTGCATGTCTGCTCTGTGCATGTTTTCCCTGTTTCCTCTCACATTGAGGAAACTGGCATCTATACCCCTGGTTGGGTACAAATGCCAGTTGGGAACATTTTTCTTAAACGGGGTAAGAGCTTTCCTTTGGTAATTTCTAGAACACGGTGTGATTGCTGCTGGCGGATGTGTTGGCTCTCACATCTCCGAAGCGGCTACCTTCCTGGATTTTTTCCACACACACCAGTATCTAGAGTTTACAGAAAATCATGCAATAAACAACAACATCCATTCGGTGCCAGGTCTGTGGGCAGAAACACCTTGTTTATGGGAGTGGTCAGTGGAGAATGGCCAGACATGATATAATTAACGGGAAGGTCACAAATTAAAAAGACCTCAGTACTGGTGTGCAGGAAGGCTTATCTGAATGCTCAATTTGTCTACCCTTAAAGGAATTTTGGAGGTTCTGCCCGCTACTAACCAGTGTACCTTTTGAAATGGCCAAAATGTACCATGGACTGGCTTCCCATCATAATCACCACTGTACTTTGATTTCACGGCCCTTAAGCCGGTCTGTACAAAGTAACCGGGTCTCACCCAGAGATCTAAGTATCACTTTACATTAAAAATCTTCTCAGAATGTGCGCAGTTCCTAAAAGCAGAATCTTTTGTAGCTCTTTAGCACAGGGCTTCCTGGGGAGAAGCTGCCGGTCATTGATTCCCTTCCGTGGGGTTCCCAGTGTTCTAATGACAGTTGGCACTATTTTTGTTGTTTGTGGCCCACATTCAATTTATTTCTATTGCCAGAACTCTGTATTTGCTAATCTTCTCTGTTTCTTTTGTTAGAAGATTAGTGTCATTTGGGATTGCAACATCGATTAGGAGGCACGTTTTCGCCTTCTTGTCATCAACCATTATGTCAGGCCGGTTCGCTAATATGGTTCCATCGGTGTTAATGGCCATGTCCCACATAACTGTGATTGAGGCATTGATGTTTGTGACTGCTTGTGGGCCGTGGTCGAGCATCTTGTAGATCGCTCAATGTAGATAGCTTACTATTTTGTTGTGCCTATGAAGGTATTCAGTAGGTGCTTATTATTATTATTATTATTATTATTATTATTATTTCTGTCCTCCATTAGCTCCAGAACCTTACCCTTAGTGTGCCCTATTTTGCTGTGTCCTTTTCCCTGTTCTTTTGAATGTGATGCCATTCATTTTGATATTGCACTTATATTTTGTTCCATAAAGAGGATAAATACTAAACTGTAAAATCCGTACTTGCTCATTGATTTAGTTTTGTTCAAATAAAACCCTACTTTTCTGTTTGAGGAGTATGAATTTGCAAATATTTTGAAATATACATCTGAATTTGTAAATAATTGAGTAGGACATTTCCTCAGGCACCAATTACTTGCTTTGCACAAAAGTAAGAATTTCACTAATCTTCACTTACCATCACTTACCAGCTGCAAAGAGGCAGATTAGATACTAATGGCTGGATGTGCATTATTTCTTTTTTTGTTCTTGCACTTGATTTTAAATAAAAGATAGACAAAAACATTAGAAACGCAACAGAATTTGTACTGAATACTGACCGAATGAAATGAAGTATTGAACCTTCTCTTTTAATCGTCCACTGTTACTATTTTTTCACTACAGAATGATCCCCTCAACAAGCAAGACTTTCCTGGTGAATGACCTTGCAGCCGGCCGGGAGTATGATCTGTGTGTGCTGGCTGTCTACGACGATGGCATCACCTCCCTTACGGCAACACAGGTAGTGGGCTGTGTTCAGTTTAGCACAGCCAGTGAGAACAGCCAGTGCAAATTCATCCATAGCCAGTTTTTGGGTGGCACCATGATCATTATAATCGGAGGTATCATAGTTGCTTCTGTGTTGGTCTTCATCATTATCCTCATGATCCGCTATAAGGCGTACAGCAACCCGAATGACAGCAAATCCAAGGTCAGCAGTATGCAGTCGCAAACCAATGGGAATCGGGGTGACATGCAGCGTTCCACCTCCAAACAATATGCTGAAGATGACTACCATGCCGGACAAGTGGCAAAGGTGGTTAAAGAGTGCAAAGCGCTGGTGTTAAAGGTAGATGCTGATAATCAGGAGGTCCCACTGGCCACCACTGCCATTTTAGAGGTGGAGTTACCACTACCAGGACCAGCAGACCCTGACAGGGCCAACCGGCGAATGAGCTTAGACGCCCAACGCTCAGGTCTTGCTGAGAATAACCACATGGACAGCAGCCTAGCGGGTTCCACCTTGTCTCTTTGTCTCATTGGACCAAGTGCAGGCAACAAGGAAGTCTCCAAGCTAAAGGACAAGAAAAGTGCCCTGGCCAACCTGCTGCCTAGCGAGTTGGCACGAACTAGGCACCGGTTCTCCTTTGATGGGGATTATTCCTTGTTTCAGAGCCACAGTTATCCCCGGGCACGGACAAGGAGACACATGTCCTCCAGTCAGATCAACGTAGACTCTTCACCCTTAAACAACCGCAGGGTAACTTTCAGCAGCACAGAGTGGATGCTGGAGAGTACTGTTTGAAGGCCTTTGCCTGCCTTCCTCACTCCCCATCCTGGGTACCAGGGGAAAACTGTGCCCATCCATTCTGCAGCAGTGCCTTATTGACAAATGTACTAATGGAGGATGCTGCTAAGTCTGTTCATAATTGGTTTCACTTTGACACATGTTTTTTTTCTCCCTTTTTTGTGCTTTCTATCTGGTGCCAGGTCTGGCAAACGGAGATAACTTTTTATGGAAAAAAAATAATTATGAGACAGAACTAAGAGCACACAGACGTGGATGTTCAGAATGTCAGCAATTTCTCTTGGAATTATTTTAAAGCTTTTGCACAGAAGACACGAGATATAAGGACAAGAATCACAAAACATCTTTATAAGAGCGTATATTACAAATGTCTATACACATGCAAGATTCATAACAGCATAGAGAAGGTGAATCTGCGGACCCTGCCTTGCTCATATGACTATATGATATTGATAGGTATTGTTTCTGATGTGACTGTAAGATATTGATAGGCATTGTATCTGGCTGGTCTAGATAAAAACAGCTAATTACAAAATATATGAATATATCAAATATCTGTCTGTGTTATAAATATAGAAGTCATATGTTACATGTCGTTTTACAAAAAAATTTGATTGTTAACCACAAGTTTTTACATTACAAGCCTGTGCCATCACAATCCTTTATTCAGCATATCGAAGTTCCAGATTCACGTTATCCCTTAATAAAGAGTATTAAAAGTTTGTGTCAGTTAATTGTTCTATGTGTTACTTTTTTTTTTTTTCCTTACGTAAAATTTTTAAATCAACTGCTAATATGCACTGGAGGTATAAAAGATATGTGGCAATGAAGGACCTAATAATTACGAAATTCACTGTTGAGAAACATATATAGTAATTACATTTCTACATTTATTTATAGTATATATTTTTTGTTAGGAGCATTTGAAAATTTTAACATATAGAACATATGAAATATATATGGCGTAAACAAAAGAAAAGCTGTATAATAATATGCATTAGGGAGCCACACTGTCTGAGTGCATAGCAATATGATGTCACACCTCCTGCGTTAGGTGTTTGACTCCTGGCCCCAGCCTCAGTGTATGTCTGCAGTTTGCATGTTCTCTCAATGTTTGTGAGGCTTTTGTCTGGTTACTCAGATTATCCCCTGCCGACAAGCACTTAGGTAAACTGGCACCTCTAAATTACGCACAGCGTGTGTTTGTGTGATTAGACGTGTGCCCTGTGATGGACTGTCACCTCACCTAGCATTCCTTTGTCCCCTGCCTCATGCCCTGTGCATTCTGAGATAGACTCCAGGCTCTCCATCACCCTGTACTGGGCAAACTGTTATAGAAGCTTGAAGCATAATACAATTTCATAAGATCATATATTAACTCTAATATTCTAGATTGCTTGGAAACAAATAACCTCACCCTTGTAGTGCGCATTCCTATAACGCCAAAGAATTATTCCTCTCTGGTACTGTGGAACAGTATTTCCCAACCTGGAACCAAAGGGAGCTGGGAGGGAGCAAAAATGTGGACTGTCGCAGGGACATGGGAGGGTGCAAAAATGTGGACTGTCTGGCAGGAAGCTGGGAGGGAGTGAATAAAATGTGGACTGTCGCAGGGACCTGGGAGGGAGCAAAAATGTGGACTGTCGCAGGGACCTGGGAGGGAGCAAAAATGTGGATTGTCGCAGGGACCTGGGAGGGAGCAAAAATGTGGACTGTCTGGCAGGAAGCTGGGAGGAAGGAAAAATGTGGACTGTGGCAGGGAGCTGGGAGGGAGCAAAAACATGGACTGTCTGGCAGGGATCTGGGAGGGAGCAAAAATGTCTGACTGTCTGGGGGTCCCCGAGGACCAGATTGGGAAACAGTGCTGTACAAGAGTACCACAGTGGCTTAGAGTTTGCATGTTCTCACAGTTGTTATGTGGGTTTCCTCCCACCGTCGAAAAAAATGTAGTTGGGCAAATTGGTCAAACTGAAATAGACAAATGAATATGTGCTCTGCAATGAACCAGTATTATCTCCAGGGTGACATCCTAAGTTCCAGACTCACTGTAATTCTGTACTTTGATGAACAGTTATGGGTAGGGTAATGGGATCATTGGTCATGAACTCTTTTTGATATCAGGTGTTTATGATGTTATATGTTGAGTCAGGTGTTTTATTAATAAAATTGTATCTGTACATGTGCTGTGAGCTGACTGGCTAAGGGTAACCCTTGTCTTTATCTGGCAGTGGGTCTAAAGCCTCCTCAAACTCTTGCACAAAACTTTTTGTATTTTCAATATGCATGTTTTCCATTTCCAGATAACATATTTCATAAGGATCTCTTTGATTCCCATTGTGTACAACTTTAACATACAAATCACAAATGTCTCAAAGGGTTCTGGAGAGGAGATGTTAGTTTTTTTTTTTCCAATCAATCATCTAATGGTTGGTTTTTAATTTTATTATTATTTTTTTGTTTGTTTTTTTGTTATTATTTATTTGTACTCCAGCAAAACGTACTGTGTTAACTTGTTCTGGATATTCACACAGTGAATGTGTTTTTGTTTCTAAAAATAATTTAAGTTTCAACTAATTGTGATTTAAGTATTTCCATTCCAAATAAAAACACTGTATGAAACAAATATACATATATATATTTTTTGATCAAGAATATATCTTAGGACTACTCTAATGAAGTGTAACGGGCCTGATAATTTCCTCATAAAATATCAACCAGAATTACAATGTGTATAATCATTTCAGAATTATTTTCCCACAATCCTGTGCAGGATAAACAGCTGAATTTGGAATCAACAACTTAAGGAATGTATGTAAAAATTGTAAATGACAACAAAATAACACAGTAATATCTATTCGGCAATATTAGTTTTTTAATTAACATAAGAATAACGTTTCATTTTCTGAAAATGATTTTTGTATGCGGAAAATTGTCTGCAGATCCTGAAAAAAATTAAAACTGCACTTAGTGGTGATACACAAATATACAGAACAAGAATGCTGTAAACATGCTGTAATCAATACTATCACTAATGTTTTTTCCTCACAACATAAGCTGGACGGAAAATCATTGTAATGCCGGCCCTTTAAACCCTATGTCTGCTGTATTCTTTGATGTCTTGGATGATGTTACTTTTTCAGTTTCTCTTTTATACAAGTTCTCTGATGTTTATGTGCATTTCTTAAAATAATCCATCCATTCATCCATACGCTCATCTTCTAATCGCTTATTCTGGTCAAGGTTGGGTGGCCTTCAAAAACAATACAAGTTAATTTGTTGATATGAACAGTAGATATGCTGCATTTTATAAAATGTTTCTGTTTCCTTAATGTCTTTGGGGTGAGCTGAATTTTTCAAAATAACTATGATCCAACTCACATGATGTCAGACTATAAAACATTAAGAAAATGCAAGACGTTTAAGAAAACGCAAAAAAAACATTGACAATTCACAAAAAAAGGAAAAGAATCGTGTTTTATTAACATTTTTGCGTTTTCTCAGTGTTTTGTATTTTCCTAATTTTGTGTGTTTGCCTTTTTGCATTTTGCACTTCAGGGCCACCGTAGCAAGGCTGAAAATAGAGAGCTGCAGTGACAAATCAGCACAAGATATGTGAGGCACATATATTACTCACAGGCGTGGATTTATAGCGGTGGTCACAGAAGCAGGCACACAGTAAATATTTGCACTATTACCTGGATTCTCCTGGAGGCATGTGTTGTCAATAAATTCACCCAACTTAGGGACTGGGTAAATGTAGTTTTTAAGCTGTTAAATCCAAATCCCGATAAGGTCTTCTGTACTGTTGAATGAAGGAAGGATTTGAAAGGCTCTCCACTCCACTGTCAGGAGGAGATCCCATCAATTGCTGGAGGTGACAAACATCAAGGTCACCAAGAGACGGCTGCAGTGCTAAAGCTTTAAAATCTCTTACTGCCCTTACAAAGGAGCTAAATATATGTATTGGTTATGAACTGCACGGAACATTATGTCCATTTTTTTCTGTCTAAATCTAAATATGTCTTTGTAAGAAAAATATATTTAAGTATTTGGTGTATAACATTTTAAAAATTCTAGATGTGTATATACAGGAAATAGTGCCTGTATAATTTCATTTACAATTGAATTAGACAGGATTGACTTGTTCAAACGGATTTTTATGAGGTGTATTAAGTGGATATATTCAGTATATGCGTAGTTTTTTTGGGGCAGTGCAGTGGCTCTGTGGTTATAATAAAGCCTCATACTTCCAAGGTTAGGTATTTAACTTCTGCTCCCAGCTCCATAAGTATGGATTTTACATGCTATCCTTGTGTTCATGTTGGTTTCCTCTGGCGGTCTAAAAATATGCAATTATGCATAATATGCTAATTAAACTACAAAGTCAATCATTAAACATTGGCCAGTGGTGTTCTGGAAGCAAGTACACAACTCTATGGGTTTAAAATATAATATTTGTTATGGATAATCCATGACTTGCAGAGAAATCCAAATAAAGTTCCTCCATTGGATGCAGATCCCCAAGTCATCATTCCCAGTCAGGTCCTGTCAGTCCTGCAGGCCCTAAGAGCACCACACTCACTTTCTTTATGAAGACTGGGTACTTTAGTCTGCTGCTTGGTGCATACACACAAACAACAGTGAGATTTTTCCTCCAATAACTCATATTTGCACAGAAACAACCCTCTTGTCCACTGGAAAACTCCAACTGGGCAGCCCTCAGCCTGGAACTTGTGAATATTCATACACCTACCTAAGGTCTGTAACCATATGTCAGGGTCAGCACCCGTTTGCCCCAGCCTTTCGTGTCTCTTCCCCTTTTGGCCAGCAGGTGTCGCTGGCCATCCAGATCTCCCTGTGCCCAAGTCCTTAGTGTGTTTCCCTAGCTCCCCAGATTGCTGCGTGGTGCTATTGGCTGAGCATATGACTACAAACCTATCAGTTGTGTGTTTGAATCCAGCTGTCTTTGTACTTAGTAGATTTTGATCCCTAATGTTTCCTTTGTATGTGTTTTTCTAGTTCCTGAGTTTTGTGGTTTGCATTCTGTTTTGGTTTTTGCTTTCTGCCCTTGGTTATGTTTTACAAGTCTTTGTTATTTCCCTAGTGTTGGATTCTGTTTCCAAGTTTCTGAGTTCCATGATTTAGTTTCTTTGATTCACCTGTGTGCTGTTTCCCTGAGCCTCTTGATTGTTCTCACCTGTCCCATGTTTCCTTGTTAACCCTCTGTATTTAAGTACCAGATCCTGCCCTGTTCTCTGTTGGAATCATTGACTGTGTTTTCATGATTCTGTGATGTTGGTTATTTGGTTTTGCTATGTTTGCTTCCTTGCCCATCCCCTATGTTACCAGTTTTCCATTCGTAGATCATCTTTTGTTCTGTTAATTGTATCCTTCCCCTGTTTAGTTTGGACCCCTTGTGATCATTTTGTTTGTAGTGTTCCTAGTGTCCTCAGTATGTGTAATAAACCCCTGTTGTTCTCTGGAGCCGCAAGTGGATCGTTACCTCCTTTTCTCTGCCCGCACCATGCCTCGCCACCGGAACGACCATGAGCATGACAGACTCCACCCCCAATGAAGAAGTTTGGTTCTAGTGCCTACACAATGCAAACAAACTTTCAAACCTAAAACTAAAAACAGAAACACATTACACTGCTATTACCAACCAAAAACAGGAGGAAAAATAAATGAAATAACAGGGCACTCACCCCCTCTACTATGCAGGTTTCACAAAATT